AATACACTGCATTTGAGGGGGAAAACATCAGGCTTTGAAACAGGAAAAGGCCCAGGGTTAAGGAAACCAGATTTGGGTCTTTAATGTGACCATTTCAGTCCTGAATGTAGCTTCCAAAGCTGCACGTCTTACTATGTTATGATTGCTAATCTAGTTTCGTAGCATAAAAACCATTCAAAAAGCAAACAGAACTATAAAAACATGACATGGAAATCCTGAGTTATTCAAAGAGACAACAGCCTGGCTGGATACATTATATCCAACTAGATTACCCAGCGAGTGTTGTGACGAGGAACTTCGAGACACGAAACGAAAACAGATCCACATTTGATGCTCATCTCATGAGCCGCAGCTGGAGTGAAACGCCTTTGACCTTCCTGTCAGTTATGGACAAAAACCTGATGAGACGAAGGTCAAAGGTCAGAGGGGTCAGAGCGGGCTAGTCTCTCCACACAGTTCAGCTGCCGCCACCCATCTGACCGGGATTTACGATAACAAAGTGCCAATCACGTATTGAAGATCTGTCCTGCCTATTTTATCCCTCTTTAAAATACAAGAAATCTATTAAAACATGCAGCCAGCATTAAATAAGATATTCTAAATGTTGTAAATGGCCACAAGCCCATAAGCAGAATGTAATGAAACTCCATCTGTGGTTTTCCACATCTACAATAAAGGCTCTTGGTGCTCAGGTCCCCAATGAGCTGTGCGTTAATACCACGCCATTCACACATTCTCTCCGCTCACCTCCCGCCCGACGCATTACATGCAGAACCATCACAGCGTTCCAGCGCCAAACTACCACGCATTACAATACAATGTGCATGAAGCCAAATAAAAGAGTGATTTTCTTCTTAGGTGCCTCTACACTTCCTAATGAAATCCTGGGGAATTACGGATAAGCACCACAACTGAATTATTAAATTTTCACAAACTGTTGCTCACTTATTAGTTTTTTTTTAATAATTCCATTTGAAGTGTGTTAATGAGGTTGGTGAGCCTTGGCCTTTCTTTTCCCAGACGGAATAGAAAAGGAAGGTGAAAATAATGTAATACCAAATTAGCCAATAAATGGAGAGGAGAGAATGTGTCTACAGGGAGTTTGGCCTGTGTTTAAATTCAGAGTGCAAAAATACATTTTTTTAAATGGTTTTTTTGTTGTTGTTGAATTGCAAAACGTCAGACCGTAATTCATAATGCAATTAAAATACACGCTGCATTCTCAGCACTGCCACAAAGAGCACTAATGGGCATTAGCCCTAGCCTAATATAAAAACGCATGTTAAGTATGTTTGCAAAGCAAACATGTTTGGCATATAATTAATTTTGTAATTGTGTACTACGTTTCTGGGCTAATTATATGTATAATATTTTTGTAATTATTATTTTTTTTATCATATAATATAGTGGCTTTTTTTGGGGTCAGTAAGATTTTTTTAATAATACTTTTATTCCGCAAGGATGCATTAAATTAAAAAAAATGACAATAAAACATTTATAATGTTACAAATGATTTCTATTTCAAATAAATGCTGTTCTTTTGAATGTTCTACTCAACAAATCAAGTTAATTCAAAGAAAACAAAATTATTCAGCAGCACAACTGTTTTCAACATTGATAATAATAAGAAATGTTTCTTGAGCAGCAAATCAGCATATTAGAATGATTTCTGAAGGATCATGTGACACTGAAGACTGGAGGAATGATGCTGAAAATTAAGCTTTGCCATCGCAGGAATAAATTACAATTAAATTGTAATACTATTATACACTGTTACTGTTTTTACTGTATGTTTGAACATTTTTATTTACTAAAAAAAAATCTTACCAAGCCCAAACTTTTGAATTGTAGTGTTCAACATGTACATTTTTATGTATATACTGTATGTATAATGGCTATAACAATAATTATTATTTACAGCTATAAATCAAAATTTCAACTTTGTTGGACACTTAGACTACACTGTAAAAAAAATCCCGTAAAATATACGGTAAAAAACCGGCAGCTGTGGTTGCCGGAATTTTACCGTAAAAAATACGGTAGCAACGTTTTAGGTTTTACGGTTTTAACTTAAATTTACAGTTAAATACCGTAATTTCATTAACTGATATAATATTAATATACCAACCTATTGAAGTACTGAAATCTGTTTTGTACCTTTGTAATACACTGATAACCACCAAAAGCAGGTGCTGATGAGAAAGTCACATGATGAACCAAAGCCCATCACAAGCAGCTTTTAAATAATAACATATATAGAAGGTGCACAGCGTCATTCACACAAACACTAAACACCATCATGGTAACACACATGAAACTGAAATAATACAATAAACATTCATTTAACAACATTAGGTGTAACACACAACCCTAATATACAAAACTGATAAGAAAAAACTAAGAAGAAACCGTTATTTCAACAAAAAAACATCAAATTTGAATGTAATGCAGGGAATTCTGGGAATGTCAATTTATGGTTATTCACTGTAAATTATACGGTATTTTTCACTTCCAAAACCGGTGTACTACCGTAAAATTTATGTCCAATACATGTAATGTCCAATACAGTTTTTCACCGTATATAGTAGGGGAATTTACCGTTAACCATTTAACAGGTTTTTACTGTAGCAGTCTTTTACCATTAAATTCACGGTCACTTTTTACAGTGTAGGCACAATAATCATGATCATAAAGCCATTTTCAGCAAAAAGGTCCAAGAATGAGAGAGAGAGAGAGAGTGCTATCAATCTTTTAGTAATAAACAGATCAGAAAATGAAGTAAAGTGGTTTATCAATATGAGAGAGAGGGAGAGGAATTTCTAAAGGAGTGAAGCAGGGGGCGGCCACAGAGCGCAGCAATGCTGACCAACTGAGCAGGTTTGATCCTGTTCAAGTGCTGCTCTTGGTTAATGGCTGTATTGATTGGTCTCAGCGCTGCTCTACTGAGTTGCTGTTTCTGAGGGAGCCGTTGGCCGTTGGCCTCAATTGAGTAGCCGCTCCACTTATCTGATGTAAAGCTCCACCCAGACCTTGTATTCACATCAGGAGCCAGTGTAAATGACTGGCACACTCAGACCATGACCAACACGCCTACACACATTCTTAAGTGACTTTTTTTTAAAAAAGCAGCAAAGTTTGCTTTTTTTCATTAATTAATTATTTTTCTTTTATTTTTTCTTTTATTTTAAATAAAGTATTTATTTTATGAATACTTTTCTATCTTGAATAAATTATATTAATATATTTAAGCAGCATACGTAAGCATAAATATACACAATGCATACAGTCAGTTTATAATGATCTTTTTTTTTTTTTATCGGGGCATTTTAACGAGTACGAGTACGAGTACAGGAGCTCAATATTGGGCCCGATACTGATACCAGTATCGGTATCGGTGCATCCCTAATATTTAAAATGAACATTTCTCTTTCTTTCCCTAAATCTTGGATTAATTTTTTTCTGTAAAAGAGCTCACTAGGTTTGCGAACAGAACATATGTTGTTGCACGTGTACAAACATATAAAAAACACATTAAATATGTAATACTACAGCAGTTGCTGTCATTAATCACAGGGCTGATGAAAAGTGCTGTCCTGTGCAGAAAATAATGTTCTTGTTTATTGTAGCTAAGTGCACAGTAAGACTAAAAGGGTTTTCACACTGACAGTAGAGCCCTGCACGGGCCTCAAATATAGGCCCTAGCCCGGCCCTGGCCCGAGACGCTCAGGCCCTGGCCCGGCCCGGGTCCGACAGCTCATCAGAATTCTTGGCCCGAGTCCGACCCGAGCCCATCTTTTTTTTTCCCCTTCTCCCAAAGCTTATACTACTGTTTCAGCTATTAAATTAGTTCAGTTTTGTATGTAATGTCAAAGTGATTATATTTCGTTAATTTAGAAAAACGTTTGGGGCATTTTTTTGTTCGTTAAATGTAAGTTTTTGTTTTTTTAAAGTAACGACCAAGTGGCCAGCGGCAGACAGTGAGTTGATCTTAGCCTATGTTTGATCAATTTAGCCTTCTCAAATTGTGCAAGGATATGTTTGCAAATTCTGTACTGCACATGACCAATTGACTCCTGTTTGCCGTGGTAATCAAATCAAGACTCTTCCAAAATACAGCTTTTCCGAAGCATTGGGAACTTTTAGCTATACTGTCACCTATATGTTAATGCGTGTGTATGTGCGTAGGCGATGTATAATATTTATAATATAATCAATATAACCCGACGGGCTTGCAGACCTCTAACTGACAGTGCAAAGCAACCAGAAATCATTCATTTTGAATAAGATTTAACGATTTTCACATAAGCGACAGAGCCCATGATGAAACAAACTTTATGCAAATTCGCAGTGACTCGATGTGGCAGCTAGATTTAGACCACGTTTCTCCGATAGCCGTCCATCCAGTCGAGTATGAACGCCTACTACCAACAGTACAGCGACTTGACCACCTCCAGTGATCTAACTGCTGTCAGTGTGAACACCCTTTAACGTCTCTCTTCCAAAAACAGGAATTTTGTTATGCAAATTCCTGCCAAAAAAATCCACGCACAACCATGCTCAGCACCAACCGCCCAAAAAACCCAGGCATGTGCAATCAGAAAATCTCAAAAGCGAAAACAAGAATCTTTCCGAATGAAATCAAACATGGCAACGGCGATGGGCTCGCCTGACAAATAAACAGATCTGTGGCTCTGGAGCAGGGCAGCATTCTGGTTTAAATTCTCCCAAAGCTACTAATACGTTCCAGCTCTGGCTGTTTATTGGTAGTGAGAATGAAGACTTTTTAACGACATGCCACATCAGCGATTGCAAGCAAACGGTCTGCTCTTCTAGAGGTTCCTGGAGGGCCGGAGTGGGCAGAGATCAGAGGATCCGGCCTGTGGTGCGGCACAAGGCAGTAACGCTTGGGAGGAGCCATTACAACTGGACTGAAATATACACAAGCATACGTACAGTTTAACAGCCTTAATTAGAAAAGGAGGCAACTAATGCTGCAAATCCTCAAACACACCTCTTAAATTACGCGGTAGACCAAGTGATCTGCTCCTAATAAGCACTGCTGTCTTTTTAAGCCAAATACACATTTAAACACTCAAGAATCTCCCTTTAAGCAATAAGCAGGAGACTGGGGAGTGTTGTAACACAGGCTGGGTTGTAATACCTAGAGTTTAACCAATTACAAATTAATAAATAAAATAGGGTAAAATATTACACAAGACCACCACCCAAGTGAGGTGTCTTGTATAGAATATAGTCATATAATCTTATATAACATTTAAAATATTTGGGTCAATGACAGAATCTACACAACAAAATATTTTAATTTAAAATACATATGCCAAGTTTTTTTTAAAAAGAAAAACTCACTGTATTCATGCGGGTTTCATGTTGTTTTGAAAAGAAAAGCTTAGATTTAAGCTTTGTCACTAAAATGCCACTAAAAATGTCATGTGGTGTAACCATCAAACAAAAAGTAATAAGATATTTTCATTATACCTTAAAAGCATCAAAAACATTCACATTTTTTATACAGATATTACTATTCATAAATATAAATTGATCAATTATACATTTAGATTTTACAACCTGCTCTGACTTTGCACCAGTAAAATGGTGAACCAATGGTTAGACCATATGACTTTTAGTTTGGCCGACAAAAGTTTTTTTTTAATATTAATAAGCAGTTTTCTTATTAATATTATTATTATTTTTTAATTTTGATGATTAGAGCTTACAGCTCATGAAAGTCAAAAATCCAGTATCTCAAAATATTAAAATATTTACATTTGAGTTTCATAAATATAATTGATCAATAATACATTTCGATTTTACAACCTGCTCTGACTTTGCACCAGTAAAATGGTGAACCAATGGTTAGACCATATGACTTTTAGTTTGGCCGACAAACGTTTTTTTTTTTTAATATTAATAAGCAGTTTTCTGCTTATTTTTATACATTTATTTTTGAATAAATTAACAGATTCTGACCTATTTTTATTTGATTTATTACAATAAATTAATGAAAATGTATCAGACATATATGTGAATAAGTTTAAGACATGTAGCTTAAAAACGGCTTAAAAATGGCTGCAGGATTTTCTAATAGTAAATTTAACAAATAACTGAAAGCAACACATTAAAATGTAAAATTTTGAAGTAGATAGACTAAAATAGTATTTTCTTGTAAAATTACTTTAATAATCTTTGCTTTATTTAAACCATAAAAATAAATGTTTTTATAGTGTAGATTAAATAACATGTTACAACACTCCCGTTGCCCCTATGTCGTCACAGACTTTACCCTAGTAAAACAATTATATATTTAAAATACATTTATTTCATACTAAGTGTAGTTCAAATGTATTAACATATTTACTGACATATTGCTCGAGACTTTCTGATATAAAAACTGTAATTAAACTTTATTTGGAGCACAATGCACATTTCTTAATATTAAGCCTAAAGCCTGTGTTTTAATGTCACTATTGATGATGATTATATGATCTTTGAATAATATCGGTCTTTAAAAGCAAGATATTTAAAATGTACCTAAAGTATACTTGCAATAGTTCCACTTTATCACAATCAAATATACTTCAGTATATCTTTAGCTGGACTTCAGCACTACTTTAGCAGTGCATTTAAGTACAAAATTAGTTGTTCCAATTTAGCAGACTTTAAGTATACCAGTTTAGTATACTAAAAATACAATTACAGGGTATTTTAATTAAGTATACAAATATGTAAATGTATTAGTAGTATACTTGGCATGAAATAAATGTATTTCAACTACATTTTACTATACAGGTGCATCTAAAAAAATTAGATTATCGTGAAAAAAGTAAAAATTTTTGGAACTTATTTCAAAAAGTGAAATTCATTACATGTAAAGTAAAACATTTCAAAAGTTTTTTATTTTTATTTTTATTTATTTTTTGATGATTAGAGCTTACAGCTCATGAAAGTCAAAAATCCAGTATCTCAAAATATTAAAATATTTACATTTGAGTTTCATTAAATGACCATCCCTACAGTGTAAATTCCGGGTATCTCTTGTTCTTTGAAACCACAATAATGGGGAAGACTGCTGACTTGGCAATGGTCCAGAAGACAATCATTGACACCCTCCACAAAGAGGGTAAAATCACAGAAGGTCATTACTGAAAGGGCTGGCTGTTCACAGAGTGCTGTATCAAAGCATAGTAAATGCAAAGTTGACTGGAAGGAAGAAATGGGTAGGAAAAGGTGCACAAGCAACAGGGATGACCGCAAGCTTGAGAATACTGTCAAGCAAAGCCGATTCAAACACTTGGGAGAGCTTCACAAGGAGTGGACTGAAGCTGGAGTCAGTGCATCAAGAGTCACCACGCTCAGACGTCTTCAGGAAAAGGGCTACCAAGCCACTTCTGAAACAGAAACAACGTCAAAAGCATCTTACCTGGGCTAAGGAGAAAAAAATGTTGGACTGTTGCTCAGTGGTCCAAAGTCGTCTTTTCAGAGAAAAGTACATTTTGCATTTAATTTGGAAATCAAGGTCTGGAGTCTGGAGGAAGGCTGGAGAGGCACAGAATCCAAGCTGCTTGAAGTCCAGTGTGAAGTTTCTGAAGTCAGAGATGATTTGGGCTGCCGTGACATCTTCTGGTGTTGGTCCATTGTGTTTGATCAAGTCCAAAGTCAATGCAGCCGTCTACCAGGAGATTTTGGAGCACTTTATGCTTCCATCTGCTGACAAGCTTTATGGAGATGCTGATTTCCTTTTCCAGCAGGATTTTTAGCACCTGCCCACAGTGCCAAAACTACTTTCAAGTGGTTTGCTGACCATGATATTACTGTGCTTGATTGGCCAGCCAACATGCCTGACCTGAACCCCATATGGAATCTATGGGATATTTTCAAGAGAAAGATGAGAAACAGTCGATCCAACCATACAGATGAGCTGAAGGCCGCTATTAAAGAAACCTGTAGAACTTGAACTTTTCTGTTTTGAAAATCCATATTTTCTTAGTGTGAAAATTGATCTTAGAAAATATTCTAATATTTTAAGATACTGGATTTTTGACTTTCATGAGCTGTAAGCTCTAATCATCAAAATTAAAACAAAAAAAAACTTTTGAAAGGTTTTACTTCACATGCAATTAATCTAGAATATATGAAAGTTTAACTTTTTGAAACAAGTTACAAAAAAAAAGAACTTTTCACGATATTCTAATTTTCTGAGATGCACCTGTATTTATTTTTCACTAGGGTAGTCTTCTATAAAGAGATAAACGTGAGTTACTGAGTGAGCAAGTGAGTAAACTAAGTGACCTGAAGTGCTCGAGTTGCTCTGTCAATCCTTATTTCAGTCTGACAGGCTAACGTTCGGCTAGCCGGCACTGACAGCTGGCCGATAAAATGAAATGCACATCGGGAGATGGGCGAGCGACTTGGGGGTCAATCTTCTCAGAGGCACAGCGGATGGAGAAGCGCCGGGGCTAATTTCTTTATAGGTTCTGAGAGGCTTTACATGCGTTTGGGCGGTGAAAAGTAATGCGGGTGTGAGGCTGCGAGTGAAGGGGTCCATTACGTCCCGGTTTGTCCATCAGCGGCAGCTCGTTTCCACACGCACGCGGCCGAGCGTTCGCCTAATAGCATCTACTGTGGAATTAGCGTGGATCAATGAGCCCCGCGTGTCCGGTTTCACTCGGAAGATGCTCTCTTGTGGCAGATGGTCAGCAGTTTATCACTTCAATTAGCTTTCGCGCACAGAAGCACTCGGTCGAGTCGGCTTTGGGCCTCGCCAAGTCCAGCGCCACCGCAAGGCCCGCTAAATTGTTTCTCTCCCACCTGCGGCACCGAGCCACATCTCGAATCGCATTTCCGCCACCTACCAGCTGAATTAAAGCATTAGGCTTTCACTACTGCCTCAAATCAGGAGATTAAAAATGGCCAAGAATTTGAGAAATCGCCAGCAGGACGGACTTTAATGGTTCTGGATGATGGATTAGTTCCGCTAGCGGCCGAGGGATCTCCGTTTCACGTAAACAGATTATTTCATTAAGGCCTTTAATTGGTAATAGATTATATTGATCAAGGCTTTTGTGTTTCGGCCAGAGAGGCCGACGACTTTCCTGCTTTCCTCATTGGCTGGGGCTGTCAGGATGACACCGTGAGGAGCTTTTTACCTGCATCAGATGATTGGTTCAGCCTTCACATCTCATTTGACTAATGTGGCACACCAGCCTGTCAGGCACTGTGCACTCTCACTCTTCTGGAGAGCTGCCAAGCATTTCTTCCACATTTGCAATTCAAGACTGTCACGAAATTAAATTCGTCCTGTTCCTCGGCGTGAAGAGGGATGTGGGAGTATTCAGTGCCATCATCGCTTTGCAAGGGTATTTCCAGATTTCATTTCACTTGTCTGTCAGTGAAAGACTCTGAGAACGCCGCATGTGGGCATTTTCTGTGGTAAACGCTTCAACATGGATGGAGTAACTTTGTTAAAACGTTAGAAACGATAAAATACATTGGATTTTCTGAAGATGCTCTGAAGATACTACTGAAGATAATATACTTTTGGGTGATTTCCAGGGAACAGATATCTGCTTACATTGTTTGGATGCCAAGCGGTTACACAAGTCAAACGAGCCCATGTCCTCTCCATGACATCATTTCCTGTTTCTCTTTCTTTATTTCTGCATGTTTGTTGGACCACATGACTTGGTTTTCCAGGCAAAAAAAAAAGAGTCAAATATTAATAAGCAGTGAAGCATATTTGTAAAAAAATTAAATAAATAAATACATATTTTTTAAATTATAGTAATTTTTGGATTAATATTTTATTTAGTAGGGATGCATTCATCTAATCAAAAGTGCTCTTTTGAACTTTCAACTCATCAAAGAATCCTGAAAAAAAAAAAAATATCATGGTTTTCACAAAAAATATTAGGCAGCACAACTGTTTTCTTGGATTATAATAATACGAAAGTTTTCTTGAGCAGCAAATCAGTATATTAAAATGATTTCTGAAGG